GTGTTTAATGGTCAGGTAGATTGCAAGAAGTTCTCGCCCGAAGGTAGAATACCTTGTTTCGGCTGGAGCGAGTCTTTTCGAGAAGAAAGCAATTGGTTTCCAGGCGTTTTTAACCAGTTGGTTAAGGGTACCGCCTACTGCTTTATCTGAAGCATCCACCATCAAAGCAAGTGGGGAAAGAGAATTCGGATATATCAACGTAGTTGCTTGAGCCAGTTTATCTTTAAGCTGTTTAATAGCTTCGATGGCGTCAGAAGACAGTTTGAATTCTTTTGGTTTTCCTTTAAGTGAATCTGTCAAAGGTTGCATTAATTGTGCACAACCTGGTATGAATCTGCGATAAAAGTTAATTAGGCCTAGAAAACTTCTCAGTTGTGTTAGAGAACTAGGTACGGGGTATTGTTTGATGGTATCCACTTCTTTTTTGATAGGTTTAATCCCTTCTGGGCTTATTGTGTGACCGAGAAATTCTAAAGTTTGAACACCGAAAACACACTTACTTTGATGTATGTTTATTCCATGTTCATCCAGTCTTTTCAACACTGCTTGTACATGCTGTTCGTGTGATTGCAAATTGGGGCTGGCAATTAACAAGTCGTCTATATACCCCTGCGCAAATGGCATATCTCGAAGTAGGTTATCTATGAATCTTTGAAATGTCTGTGCCGCATTTCTCAGGCCGAATGGCATGCGTACAAACTCGAATAAGCCAAAGGGTGTAGTAATAGCTGTCTTGGGAATATCTTCATCAGCCACGGGATATTGTGATATGCCCTGACTAAGTCAATTTTAGTGAATATGTTCATACCCTGTAAACCGTTGGTGAAATCTTGGATATGAGGTATTGGGTACCTATCTGGTACGGTTTGACGGTTGAGGGCTCTGTAATCCCCGCACGGTCGCCAGTCACCTTCATTCTTCTTTGGGACCATATGCAAAGGGGATGCCCATTGACTATCAGAGGGACGGATAATACCCAATTGTAGCATATAATCAAACTCAGCCCTAGCGATTTTGAGCTTATCTGGTGCTAGTCTCCTGGGTTTTGCAAACACCGGTGCACCTTCAGTTTTGATAGTGTGACTCACTTTTAGTTTGTCCTTAGAAGGCTGTGGGTTTGGTTTAGTTAAGTTTGGAAATTCCGCGAGTATATCTTGGAATTTCGCTGTTGTTACTGGGGGAGTTTGAATCAAGTTAAGAGAGCTGATGTGACTTTCTTTGCCTTTTGTGTAATACGAAGTTTCTTTTAGTGTTAATCGCCGTTTCTTGGTGTCAACTAGAAATTCATATCTCTCTAGAAAGTCCATCCCCAGTATTGCCAGATCTAAGTCGGCTACCGTGAAAACCCAAGGGAATTGTCTCCTGAACCCCAAATCTAGGGTTAATGTTTTCTGCCCAAATGTCGCAATTTCAGTTTTATTTGCAGCTTGAAGTGTAATTGATGATGTTTCTCGACTAATCTCAGTTTTATTTTGAGGGATGATACTAAGAGCAGCGCCAGTATCCACCAAGAAATTCAAGCCCGAGTTTCTGTCTCTAACATAAAACAAGCGACTGTTTAGGCGCCCCTCCGCAGTCGTCGCGACCTGGGGAGGGGTTACTCGTTTCCCGCTGTCTTAGAATTATGCTTAGGCCAAGCGCATGGTTGCATGCACTTGGTTGAGTTGACACCAAACTTCCAGTGGTACCAACAAAACTGCCCAGATTGTCTGGACATTTGTGACCTGTTTTGTGACTTGAATCGTGGTCGTTGTGGTGACCTGCTCTTGTTTCTATGACCCATTTGCATTCTGGTGACAGCCTCAGTGAGACTCTTAACACTCGCAATGAGTCCTTCTATTACGGGGTCTTTTGCTGATTCTACTTTTTGTGTGTGATTTATTATGCCTGATCCAGTTGGAGGACCTCTTTCCATTATTCTGTCGGCTATACGCGCTAATTGAGATAATGAGGTTTCAGGATCCTGTGCATCCAAACAGTGTTGGACGTAGCATGGGAGAGCTTGTATCCATCCTTGTTTTAGGACTGCATCACCCACTGTGTTATCACTCACTAAGACTTGGAGGTGACGTAAAAACTGTGACGGCGACCGATCACCTAGTGTTTCACCTTGAAAAAGTCTTTGGATTCTTTGACTATCTGATAATGATAAACGGTTCATTATCTCTCGTCTTAAGATGGTGTATGGTTGTGGTGATGGTGGACTTAAAATCAAGTCACGGACTTCTTTGGCGACTGAAGGAGGAAGGATAGAACACAAGTCTCTATAGCGAATCCCTTCAGATTTGATATTGTGTCTCGTGAAATAATGCTCTAGTTGAGCAAACCACAACTCAGGATCGCTACGATCAAATTCTGGAAGTCGGGATTTCGTAGTCATAACAGTGTCTATCTCCACTGGTGACAAATCCTCCAGATTATGGGTTTCTATTGAGTCTGACATGAGGTATGTGGCAAATATAGCAATAAAGTTAGCACAAAAAGTGGTTACTATAACACGAATAACATAAGATAATACGGAATAAACTAGTTATATACTCAAATTAGTTTACGGTTAATCAGGTCTACTTTTACGATTAAGTAAAAAAAATGTTATTAACAGAAATGAGGTTAAATTTGTGTTCAAAAAGGGCTCACCAATTTCGTGCCTTAAGGTAACCCTCGTGCTATTGATAGAAGAAACCAGACAAGTAGTGAATAGGTCTTTATTTCGATCTTCGCGCAGTCACAGTGGAGCGTGGGATTATCTGTTCAGACAAACAAAGGCTCTCAACATTCAATATAAGATACTAGGGAATATAACGCTTATACAAAATAAGGAAGTGAATGAATACTTGAACAATACTGTTTTGGCATAAGCTTGGTTGTTTGGGGTCAACTCTTAACCAACCAACCTGAGCTGTTACAAGTCTAAATGGTCATACCTTAGTAATTTAGTCACGAATGACTAAACTTCACTAGTCACGCACGATATCCGTCCTGCTTTTTGCACTTCCATTTTTTCCCTTTTTCAGCACCTTCATGGTATGCCACCGAAGTAATATGTTTCACATATAACTTCGTACTGAGTTGTTGCTAATTCGCCCGGATATTATCTGGTATCATTATCAAGAAAGCGCAGAGTAATACGTCAAAGGGAAAGTCTTTGACTGTCTGCTCTGAAATTAAGTTTAATTCATTCTTGGCCACAACCCACTTGTCGTGACACGACCTTCATAAGGCACACCAACTTTCATATTGAGAGTCACAATCTTATAATTATTAACATTCGAACGTATGGAAATGCATCCTCTGTTTCCATGGTGAATGTGCCTTACAACGTATAAACTTAGTTGAGTAACTTACTAAAGCCTGTAGCGTTCGTAACGATATGGTCTTGCCTGTAGACTGACATAACTCATGTAATACGTTGTTGTCTGAGAATACATATTATTATTATTTTTTAAAGTGATTGCCACTCTTGAATCATTTCGTGAAAACACACACTGGTTACCAGGTAAATTTTACATGCATCCGGAGAAACCAAATACTGAGAGGATTAGACACTTGTGGGCTGTCAAGTATAAGGAAAATATATGGAATTGACATGGACTTCCCAATCGGAATATTTCGTGCAGACAGATTGCCGTTCCATTCACATAATGCACCTTTAGACAAACAGGGAGAGAGAGCTCACGAGTTTCAAATCAAAAGCATCAGCTGCCTGCATACGAACGCTTCGACTTTACTGGATAAAAGGGATGAGTTGTATGAAGTAAGTAACTCGAATAGAATTCACCTGGTAGAAATATCTGAAACATGGGCAACTTCACAGATTACTGATAGGAGCTGGCAATACTCGGGATATCTTTATTCTGCAATGACACAAAAACGGAAATGGGAGACGGAACCGCCTTATACTTACGATCTTGCCTGGTAACATACCTAAGTATACACTCAGGAGTTTATCAATTTTGATGAATCTGTATGTTGCTCCGTAAGACTTTCTAGCAATTCAGGTAACTCTCCTCTAGAGACATACCAGGTTGACAGTGATCTAGGAGTCTTTGTACGCTATGATTGATTGTCTTACACCAACTGCGACAAAAACGCCTTTGGAGCAAATTGCACACTAGGGATGTTGAAGCGCATTTTTGTCCAGTTAGATAGTAACAGTTTCCAGTAAATTTCTTTCGGTTTTATCCGACACTATTTAGAGTGCGACATAATAACTTTCCTCCCCTCACCCTATAAGGTCGAAAATACTTCGAGATGTATTCGAAGTTTAGCCACGAAATCATTTATGGGACTCGAACTAGGACAAATCACATATCACTCAATCTCTGCCCAAACAAGTATAAGCGTCTCCAAACGGGCCGTTTGATGATTATTCCGGTGCAATTATGACCCCCAAAACCCCTACATTAGGCGACTGAGCCGTCGTCAAACGGGACTGAAAGGGGTCGGAGTTCACCGCCGAAGATGCTGAACTGCCCAATGACTCATTAAATCCCAAACAGTCCACGATATCTTTTTCCATTCTTACTTGGGCTCAGTCCGAACACAAACCTTGGAATCACAGTGTGGCGAAATGGAGTGTAAGCGAACTTTCCAAGTTCCATTAGTGGTGGAATTTCGGAATTCGCTCTCGGCTGAGACCGTCCAAGCGACTTACCAAGTGTTCTTCAAGAGGAGGCTCAACATATTCTCAAGGACTCAGGATATAACTTCGCCATGATTTACTTATAATTGTCTTTCTATCATTAAATATACCTTGGTTCCTATCTAAAGGCATCAGTGATTCATTCATACTAGATACGGAAGCATGGTAAGCGAAATCTATTCCATCCACAACATTTTGAACCCTCTTTCTTCCCTAGTATGTTGTTGAAGTTCCTCATGGACGTTTCCGTATCACCCAAAGGTCGTCAATAAATTTCGGCCTCACCCTCCATTTTCTCACAGCGAGCTTAAATGTTCGAGAGTTTAACACCCGTAATGTTAGGGTCTGTTATTTAAAGGCGCAATATATGTATTGAGCGGTGCCAAATGTCTTTGACCTTCAACCTGGATGATCATGTTCCCGAGCCTTCCACTTCTGTAGAAGAATTGAACAAAGAATTAACTAAAATGCGTAAAATAGTGCGAGCTGCTAAGGTATAATGTAAAGTATTTTCTAAAACTCAGGTGTATGCATTCCGAGATTTGATGCGGAACGTCAAAGAATTACGAGAACAGATGTCTCGTCTTGGAGGCTGCAGACGATTAGAAAGCAAAATAGAACACAGAATTTCTGATATAAAGCTCTCGCACAACCTCTCGGTCGTCCGTTTATGTAAACGGTTATTGGCAGACGAACATGATAAAAAGCACGTATGTCCTCAGATACCTTTTTAAAGTAGGTTAAACATGAGACCGATGTCCATTCCGAGTTTCTTCATATCTCGCAAAATTCATTCTCTAAGACACGGCTTAAAGGTTTCTTCGGAGTTAAATGCTATGCCTCTAAACTGTACTGATTTCAATAATTTGGATTTGGGAGCTCATATGTTTAATGTGTGATTCTATGTTGTTTTTTATAGTTACGTAATGAAAACCTATGCAAACAGTGTAAGAATCCAAGTGTAGAGACGAACGTTCAATTTCCACACGTTCCTGTATGCCTTACTAGTACTCAACTACCATGTTAAAGATAAACATAGATATCTCTAGTACTCATTTGTCTCAAATGTAAATGTTCTTGGGGTTTTCAAGACTCCAAACTTTATAGCTAATTTATCAGAGCAAGCTGCATAGTGTCACGATCAGATCTTACCCGTAAGTTGCGTCAATTATTTGAAGTATTACAACCTATCAACTCAGTGTCCTAAGTAGTCACAAATATCACGATGGTAAACAACATAACTTTCCCGGTTTAACACTTTGAAATTCGTAATACATCTTAAAATGTGTATGACGTGAAAAAAAGCTACAACTACTAAATACTGGTCGTGCAATCGTGAAATAAATGTTTCTGAAAATACTCTACTAAAATCTTCAAAAACATAGCTCCCTACTTTTTTTTCACCACCTGACAATGTTGTATCGAGTGTACTTCTAATGAAATCTCAGGTTGGAGTTACTAAAATTGTGCTAGTTTGATGTGTTGAATCCATAACCAGTGCTTTTTGTTACCATCTAAGCTGCTGTCCTCAAGATTAATTTTGTGACAAGATTATCACAGTGTTTACTTGTCGTACTGTTTACATATAGTAAACACCAGTACTTTGTTGAGTGGACTCAACACCTGACAAGCAAGTGATGTTTTTGGATTTAGTTCAACTCCAGCTAAAAATTGCTTTCAGATAGAATGATTCGACCACTGAAATTGTTCTCTATTCTTAGAAAGTAAAAGTTTCGGCAAGACTTCTGCGCAAAATTCATTCACTTATTCGTTTAAATAGCGTTTCGGCATTTTTAGCTTATGAAAACAATAAATATGATTCCTAACCCTAACCATCAACTGTAAATCGTAATCCCTATTCTTCACACTGCTTTATAACCCTGAGTTAGCCCTAGTAAGCCGGGAGACATCCTCATGGTCACTGTAGCACTATTCAAATGTCGTCCATAAATTATAGTCTCGTCAAGTTTTTATTCTATTTATTGTTTTTGAAATATATCTCATTTTGATATGACTAGTCATCAGATAAGTTTTACTTCTCTATCTCTATTTCATACACATTCAAAGATTTTGGTCCAAAAATCAAAATATACCTAGTTTTTGTTTTCATTCGCCTAGAAATCTAAATGAGTTTCATCATCAGCCACATCTCATTTCTCGATCTTAGTCAATTGTTGTGCTTGCTGCTAATTTCATCACACATATATTCTATGTACGTGCTTTGTAAAGCCGTCTAGGCAGCAAATTCATTAGTCTTTTAACCAGATTAAATGAATCCATTGAAAACGGTCTGAGATTTGCGTTTCTACTAACCCATTGTGTCTCTTGATATCTTTTCTTAAGGCTTTTCTGTTTACTCACTTAACACTAAACTCGATACATAAGTATGTAAGGAATTTAAAGGTGACTCACCCAGTGAGACGCTTAAGTTGGGCAGATCAATTTAGAAAACTTGTAGTGTAGGCAAGCTATAGATGATGTTTTCTACACACCCGGTGGTCATTGATAGATAAAATCTCTAGACTAGCTACCCTTTTTCCTGTCTATCGATTCATCTGCTCTAGTGGAGGAACTTGTATTAGATTGCCCACAAACGTTTTTCGTGCTCATGTGTTTAGACATGTCTATTCTGATCAGTAGTCTCAATCTCACTTAACGCTAAAATTTTTATACTTCATACTATTCATATCAGTAGCCTTGAGTGCTGTTAGAGGTATAAGGATGGTTATCGATCCCCAGTGGTCCACACCGTGAAAGGGTTCTTCTAGAGGCACCCAAAAAGGAAATTGGGTTAGAGTTAGTCTTAGTGACCTGAAAGCGTGACCGCAGTGCCCAAGGGACAACTGCTTGAGGCCGGTTACGCAGGATCTTTTTGTGAGTAATTTTCGTGTCAGCTCTGTACTTGTTGAGACCTTACCGGCAGAGATTAAACTCCATGAGGTAGGTCAAGGAGTGAATTTTTAAGGTCAGCAGTACGACTTCTTCCTCGAACATTAGGTTTGCTGCTTTTAGTCTTACCACTCTTCAACCGACCTGCCTGGCATGGTAGGATCTTGATGAACGATTGTTCCAGCGAGTATAGCTCGGTTGGTTCCTCGAGATAGGTAAGCCCAGCCACCACGTCAAGATAACATTAACGGTCGGGACCAACATTAACAATGTTATTTTATAATCCAATAATTTTAAACGATATATTTTCTTTAAACCTGATCACTTTTTGGATTACTATTTTGGATTTATAACCGTACAACTTGAAGATGATTTATTGAAAAAAATATTCTTCGTTCATACATCTGTTTTTAATATAATTGGAGTTTTTCGATGACTAAAATATGTAACTGTTGATTGGAAGCCCGGCCATTGCTTTTACCTTGACGTGATGGTTGGGCTAACCTATCGTGATGAACCAATCGGGATATACACACTGGGATTAGAAAAGGTCAACCCTAAATATTCGCTTCTTGACCTACCTCATCTTGTCGTGCTACTGAGGCTTGGCAACTTGGACCGATGCATCTATGTGCTTGGCCCGACGTTGTAGGCTGATTGACTAACTTCATTGGAAGGAATTCAGTGGCGAGAGGGTGTGTGAATATTCTCGATTATCGATTTATTGCACAGCAGTATAAAAAATAATCATTCATATTATTCTTACTAGCTTCAGAAATATGGACATAATCTCACTCAAGAAGACCGTTTAGTTATACGTCTCAAATCATCGAAACCTGTATCAGCCTTCATCAAATCATTTCGTGAAAAACATGAGGACTGGATTAGTCTGGTTCATTATTTGGTTTACAAAAATGTGTCAGGTAAATGGAAGTCAAGAGAGCAGAAACGTCGAAATAGGAAAGTTCGTGGATCCTTACCATTGCCTCCTGCGCCTGTTAAGGAAACAGGATTTAGTATTCCGGAGGATCAAAGGTAAAGCCTTATTTAGTTAGATATTTCAACCATCAAAGTGACGAGATTATTTTTTATTGTGTGATCATTTCAGTTCCCACATAAAATGTTTACTCTAATTAATTATTTGTACAAGAAATTTTATGTTACATACACCAGTATTTCACTAACATTGTCCGATTTTATTCAACGTAGATTGAACTTTCATGAATCTTGCTTGTCGAATCATGTATTACAAAATCAATTATATATGAATTTATGTTTAGGTAAATTACAAGCAAATATTTCAAACTTTATCCGACTGATGAAATCGTTTGATTTTCAAGATAAACTGATCAATTTAACTGAATTGAGTACTCAAGCATCGCTTGTATTAATAGAAATGTCTATAGTTTGCCACATTAAATTAACCGATCTTTGCAGTACTGTCATTTTGAAAAAAAACATCAAAAAAGCTGGAAAAGTCCTGCTGTAGTCATGATGTCAATTCATTCCTGATCAATCGTGATAGATGTCACTAATTTGTCCTTGATTATATTGTGTGCTCATGAAAAGGGAGCACTTTCTGTGGGTTTTCATTTTTCTATCCCTACAGCACAAATGTTTGAATTGCCAATCAGTGTCCAATTCGGAAACCCCTATAATCAAATGGATACCTTAGACCATACACCCTTAAAGAATCAAAGTTAGTGTAAAGCTAAACCTTTAGATATAACGCACCATTCTCATGTTCCTTGACAAAAGCAGAGAAGCATATCAACTTCTCATAATTTCAAATTATTAAAAAGTTTGCAACAGTGCTGAAATTATTCTTGTTAAACCTGATACGGCATCATGTGTTGTTGTTACTAATTAATGCGGTTACGGGAATATGATGGTAGCCATTCTCAGTGACGAGAGCAAATTTATGGCCGATGTTAACTCTGAAGAACTATGCAAATTATAAAGGAAAATCGACTCGAATTTAATGGAATTTCTTAACATGAATGCTATTAACAAATAGGAATCTAATTTGTTAAAACCTATGTGTCCAATGTATCCGCATTTATACAGACTTCCAAGAATTCATAAGCTCAATATCCCCTTACGTTTAATCTTGTCTGTATAAAAGCCACCTACACATAATCTTGCGAAAAGGGTAACGAAAGTGTTAACTCGTATTGTAAACTAATTTTTATTACTATTTTTTGGAAGGTTCATTCGAGTTAATTAATTACTTGATGGATATCAGTATTAGTACTAAGGCAATGTAATCACTTGGTGTAAACACTTTATATACAAATGTACCTCTTAGGCAGACTTGATGTTTTGTGTGACTATCTGTATCATTAAACAATCCTCAGGTCGCATTTCCTGTAAAATCTCTGGAGGATTTATTATTATTGTGTACTGATAATGTGAAATTCACTTTTTAGTAGAAGCATTTTCGACAAATTGATGATGTAGCTATGAATAGTCCTTTAGGACCGTTTGTGGCCGATATGTTTGCGGTTTATGTGGAAAATCTAGCGGAAGACTCAATTCAAAAGATATCTCTATAATCAATACGTGGATGACATATTAGTCATAAGTGATAAACGTAAAGTGCGAACCGCATGTTGCAGGAACTCAACATAACTCAAAAGCACATCTGTTTTACATGAGAAGAAGAGGTGAATAACCTACTTCCATCAAACGTTCTGTGTATAGAAAGCCAATACGGATAAGGCTACATCTTAATTTTTATAGTCACTATCCAGTTCAGTACGAACGCGGATGAATAAAACGGTTATTCAATAGGATCAATCGTATTTGAACTAGCGATATTATTGAGGGAGACGATACGCTTTCTACTGTAATATTGATTAATAACGGTTATTCATCGAAGTTTACAAACTCCTGGATATGTAACAATATGACCCACGACGTTTTTGGCACCCAAAAAACTTGTCTATATTACCCTACAATTCAGAGGTAACTCAAATAGTCTCATGTTGTAACGGTGACTTAGATTAACTATAAGAGATTTTAAGCAGCCCAACTGATCACTATCTAAAAACCAAAGTCTCTGTTTCACCAAAAACCCGAACAGTATGTAAATGGTCGTGTCACATCCTATTACGTCTGCCAATTTACATGTATATGCGAAAACATATATACAGGAAGGAGTAATCTTGAGCTGTAAGTTACTGTTTGAACACATACATAAATGGCAACAAAGAAATGTGTTTCAATGGTCGAATAAGGTTACAGGACAGACAAATATATTTCTCAACTGCAAAATATTTGCTTGAAACGGTTCATACAGTTGATATCAAGTCCGCCTTTTTGATGTTATGCAGGAGTTCAGGGGCATATATTAAGGTTTATTGAAGCCCTGGCTATACGAAAACTGAAACCATTACATGTTAAAAGCAGTTTGTTCTTAGTCTCAACTTACTCTGGTAATACTTATTTATTATCTAGCGTGGTTTTGACATTGTGTACTTTATTTTTATTTTTCTAATATATAATATCTTAACTAGTATACATGTGATCAGATTTTTCGAAACTTATTTTACAAATATATCACGTAGTTCTGGTAAACTTCATCGTCTCATCGCATTATCCTCTCTTTTATAATTTTAATGTCTGTTTTATGTCATGCTATTTCCAAAGCCGGAGACCTTGTCTAAGAAATGTTCTATGTGAATGAAAAGCATCCCGGTTATCATCACCCATCTATTTATGAACCAGTATTCTTAATCGATTATAATTCGGTAGTTCTTGGCACATTGCGAGTTATATTGCGTACGTACGAAGAATAGATCTCTCTTTGTATACTTAGCTTAGAGTCATAATAAATTTTGTAAAGGTCAAGAAAAACCGTTTGTAGTGACCAAAGAGAATGTCTAACTACTCAAACTAAAGTGGTTATGGTGAGGTTCGAATCCGCGATCATGGTAACTACTTTTCTTAAATATATCGTTAATTAGTAGTAGTGCCACTATCTGCTGAAACTGAAGTAGATGAATTAGGCTTTTAAACACATTTTTCATCTCAGTATTTGTTTTAGAATCGCATCTCATGTCAAAATTTAATCTTACTCCTTATTTCTATTAATATTTAACCTTGTTATGAATAACTGAATAACTAATTATCTTCAAGTTCTTTATCATTACATTTTGTTCTGAACCCATTTTCATTTCTTTAGCAACAATCTCTCATCCTATCGTATTCACAACGTATGTTCAGAATCTGAAAGTTGCATAAAAACACTGTCAGCCCAACATACTCTTAGTGGTAATAGCATACTCAGTGATACTAATTCAGATATGCCAGAAATAATCACTCGGTTACTTGAACGAAAAGGTATTAAAAAAAGTGAAGATTCCAATACCATGGATAATCATACGTATATGACAAATGGATCAATGGAACAAACAGTAAATAAACCAAAGAGAGTAAAACTTCCATTAAAATCTGATGTAAGACTCATTCACCATATTCCTTAATTTTTATTAATATATAAATATATCTTTAAGGAAATTCAAGCAATGGTTTCAGTTGGCTTAGCTTTATGACAAAGTTAAGAAGATTAAAGGAGAATCTGTGATCGATTATAGCAGCCATTTGTTAAATATTACAAGAATATTCATGTGAGAAATCTATTGGTTCATGCAATTAGAATGTACGTTTATAGGTCACTCATTCACCTTCAAACTACTGCTGTTATAATATAGTGAAGTAAACGTTAGGTTATAAGCTTAACTAGTTTTCGTCTACCATATACCCTTTCAGAATTAAATCTAAACTACTGTTCATCATAATAGACAAAATAAACTCAACCGAAATCAAGTTGTGAAATAGATTGTCTGCAAAGTGAACAATTTCTGCAAGTCTAGCTGATAATCATGCTCTTATTTGATGGAGTTTACTAAAATCAAGGATGAGACATATCCTCAGTGGTAATTTAGGGTGGCCACTTGATATCTTCAATTGACTAAACTTAGAAATTGGGACTATTTTATTCCGATTTGATGGGTAAAGAATTCAGGTTTGAACCCCGCAACATCTATCTCAGCCTAAGTAGTCGAATAGTTCCACTAGCTTTCACACAATGTGGCTGAAAGTCGATTACATAAATCTGTACTTAATAAAAGAGTTACGTCGTTATTATTATGTATTGATAGTTTAACTTTTATAATTATTTATATCATACCTAGTTGGGCATTTTTCACTCCAGATGTGTTTTCCGCTCATTTAGAATTATTGTTGATTATCAGTTGTCTCAAAGGATATTTAACTTCTTTTTTTTTACGACTAAGCGTAATCTTGAATGGTTAACACTGATCTAAAGATGGATTATTTTAAAAATTTATCCATCAGAAATCTAGCATTCTTCTCCTTGATCCTATTTTTTAAATTAAGTATTCAAGAGTTAGCTACAAAAATAGTCAAACGTAAGTTCTGTATATGTTAATACTTATATGCAAAATTTGTATGTAAAAAAGGTGGGGACTCATCATTTTGTCAAGTAATTCAATACGTTTAGAGGGTACTTTTCAACGATAAATAGCTTTGTCAAGATCTGATAATTTCAAATGACATAACCATTTGTTTGTAATAACAATATTTCAGTAATTTATTGCCATTTCATTTTATTTGTGTGTGGGCTATAATAATGCCTGGGTGCTCAGACCGAAGCAGGTGATTTTGTTAGGGGGCCACAGCTGGAGCGTTTGACTTAAAGGTCTAATCCACAAGGCAGTGGAGCAACGTCAGGAGATGCTGTTCCATGGTAACTGGTGACCAATAATTGGTTCATTGTTATGTATCTGGTGCCCCTTTGTAACAATATTTATGCGTTCAAATAAATAAATAAACAATATTAGTATATTCATAATATCTTATTATTAAAATAATGGATTTCAGAAATTAGGCAACATTTTGCGAGTCGTTTTATTTTTAGTAATTAAATAATTGTTTTCTATTGAGATCATGAACCGATTGATGTTAGGTCACCACTGAAAACGTGAAAGTCCAATTGTGTGACTCCTCAGCAGTGCGCACCCACAATTCCGCCTGTGTCATCCTAACCCAGCTCCTTTGGTCTCGCACGCGAACGCTTAACCTCTAGACCACTGAGCCGGCTGGCATCCAATGGTGTTAATGTCTAACCTCGAACAACTCATGAAATTGCTCGACCATCTCCTATTGTACTGAGGTAGATACTTGACACATATTGGCTCCACTGGTCACGATTTCTCACTAGAACTCCTAGAATTCCCTCACGAAGCTAGTCAATAGTGAGCACATGGTAATTATCAGTATGAGGTTGTGGAGATTATTGTTTCTTAATATCAATAATACTACTTTCAAGTAGACTATTGAAACTTGACAAAATTATTTTATACTTTGCGAAAAAGAAATACAAAGAACTGACTCATACAATGTTTCGAAATATCAGAAATTTAGTTTCCTACTTATTAGTTGGATATAAATATGAATCTTTTTTATTGATTCTGTCCATTTAGTAATAAATTAGTTTTGTTGCTTCATTCGACGTTTACTTTGTTAAAAGAGAAAGATTACTGAGCAAATATTAAAAAAAATACCAATCTACTTTCATGTCTTTCTTAATTGTCAATATTTTAATTAGATAAAGATCGAAACTTCATTCAATTCTTGTCATGGAAATCCTGCAGAAATACAACAAATTGATGATTCAATATTTGATGATCCTCTTGGTAATGATGATAAAGATGTCAGAAAATTATATGTAAGTGTCATTGTTTATTTGTGTTAAAACTTCAAAGTACTTTCATTATTAAAATCTCTGTTAAATCTTTCTATCCATTTCGTTTAATCACCATCATTACAACTTGAAATTTCCCTACTACTTTAATTATTGATCTGAATGATGAAGATACTTCAAAATGTATAGATTTTACAGAGTATTTTTCATAAGTCCTGTTAACATTAAAGTAATATGCTAAGTGCATACTGTTACTGAATAACTTATGTCTTCACTGTAGTTGGTTACATCTGTCCACTTCAGTCTCATTATTGCTACAGTATTAATAATTTTTCAGGAAATATCTTCCAGCAATGAGCCATTGTTATATCTATATATACATGGATCCAGTTGGTAGACACTGCAAAAAATATACATACAACTAACAATTCTATATCTTCATTATATGAATGAAGACTTATAAAAGGACTCTCAATAGGCATTTTCTGCTTGCCTATTGCCTTACAACAATATAAATACGCATTCTGTTCTTAGAAAACATTCCAAAATTTCGTTACGTACTTCAATAATATTAATAATAATAAACATATTCGTGTTGGTTATTGATATTATTTCGATAGGTCCGTAAGAGTATTGTGATAAACAAGAATACAAGCGGTGATAATCAAATGTATTTGAATGCCCCCAAACGCCCTGGTATGGCCGAGAGCGGGGTGGGTTTGCCCTCCCTCTCGAAATACTCTCACACGGCCGCGCGTATACAGCCTCTGCCAGGGAAGTCCTACTCACTGCCTTCTCGTGGCAGGAGTGTTGTTTACGAAAATGAGAGGACGAAAAGCGAATGTCCGGCGCTTTAACCGGATTCCAAACCAATGGTGCACATGGGCACCAGTATCCTGTGGGAACAAATGGCGTATGAACCAATTTTCGGTCACCGGCTACCATGGGACTGCATCTCCTTACGATGCTCCACTGCCTTGTGGGTTAGACCTTTAGGTCAAAGGCTCGGGGTGTGACCCCCTAAGATAACCACCTGCTTCGGTCTGGGCACCCAGGCAGTAACGCAGCGCACACGCAATTAATGAACTGAAATTGTGTGGCGCATATATGTTTGGCGCACTCCTGTACCAATATATATGTGTTCAAATAAAAATAAAAATAATAATAATAATGTATTTGAATACAAAATTACAGATCCGAAAATCATACAGTAAATACTTCATAAGCAAAATGTCAATCAAATGTCTCAGACTTGATTGTTCCTTCGTTTCCGCACCAACTACTTTATGTTCTTAGTCTATGCTCTTCGATCTTCTTAACATTCTGCCACCAGGTATTTCACTTTCGATCGGTGACACATACTACTTATATTTATTAATATCAGTAGTTCACACTAGAGTATGAACTAATCACACATATTGTGCTGTTAAGTCATCTAGTCTTTATATTGTATAAATTATCGTCTTTTTAAAAAAATAATTTGCCTAATCATCAGTCATTTTGACAGTCAGTAATGTTTCCTGTCAACTTAATCATATTCCAATGGTTGAGATCATGAGTTAATTGAAGCCAGACCACCATGGAAAACCTGGAAGCACTGGACCCTTCTGTGATTCTAGTCATCATATACTCATTACTGACTGGCTTCAAGAGGCATTTCCTGGAGCTCTAGTGAGAAGCAGTGATCAATGGAGCTCAACCAGGTTTGTTGTGAGATAGTAACTCACTGAAGACAATAGTGGACGGTGGCTTAATTCTATGGATTGGTTGAAGTTAGACATTAACAGCGTTGGTTGCCGACCGGCTCAGTGGTCTAGATGTTAAGCGTTTGCACTCAAGACTCATAGGTTCTGGGTTGGAATCGCGCGAGGCGGAATCTTGGATGCGCATTGCTGAGGAGTCCCATACTAAGACGAAACGCTGGTCTAGCCTCAATCGACTCATGATCTCAACCATTGAAAGTACTATAATATCCAGAAAAGACCGTTCTGATATTAATCATATTTCTTTACTATTTTATAGAAGAAGAAAAATTTTGTGAAACAACAACATATGAAAAAGTATCCTTCAAAACTAAATTCACGTAAATCTTATACAAAGCATAACTTTACTAAATTTCCATACAAAATGAAACAAGATAATTTACAAATGCCTAGTACAACATCTAATCTTACAGAACCTGTTATATCTGAATTATCTAAACCTGGTTTACATCCATCATGGGAAGCTAAACGATTAGAAAAAGCAAAAGTTATGGGACTATGTGAAAGTTCAACGAAAGAAGTAAAACGTATTATATTTGATGGGTAAATGATTATTACAAAAACAAAACAACTCAATTATTGATTTAATATTCAACTTAGATTTACTGTATACAGTTAATTGATAATTCTGTACATTTAATAGTGATAATAATGATTTATCCACTGAATTATTGCATATACACTCAGTGAAGATTCCTACTATTTGTCTTTATTATCAACTAGGTGTATCCAACATTTCTTTAGTGTTTGTTTTGTCTTTATGGCCCGCTAGTTATCACGTAATCTAATCACCAATCAAAATACGAATTATTCGCTCTTGTACTGTTCTAAACCAATGACGTTCGTTCGGTCTGATCAGTCTAGCGTCCTATTTGGTCCGTTGCTCGCCTAGCCCGTCCAGTCGAGTCCAGAATGCTAGTAACAGCCTCCACTGTGCGAATCATTTATTTCAGACATACTGGGTTTATACATCAACTGAACAGACCGCAACGCACCATAAAATAAGAAATAACATTCGTACACAATAAAGCCAAAATGTGGCTGTGAACGTGGGGCATAGTAATTAATAAATTGAGTATAACTTGAGAACAGTAAATTGTACAATAATAATCTATAAGTCAAAATGAAGCTTATAGTAAGGGGAATATAGATATACATAATCTAATTACTGAATAGTTGTACCATAGGAATATATAGATAATATTTGTCCACTAATAGGTCTCAAAAGTTGTTCGTAATGTAATCTTCGCTATGATATAACAGTATTCATGTTTTTTCTTCTTCAAAACTCACACTGTTGACATGACAATTGCAACTATTGTTTTAGTGAGTTGTTTGTTTGTTTATTTTTTGGGAGTGGGGTGGAAATTTATCAAAATCTTTTCTTGTACGGATTTCCCGAATGTTGAATCATTTAAACATTATCAGAAGGGGTTTGTGGAGATTTTAGAAATTTTCACAGATTGAAATCATGAGTCAGTTGAAGCTAGACCACCATTGAAAATCTGGAAGCACTGGACATTGTTGGTCAGCTTTTTGTCAAAAATTGTATAATCCTATGCTAAGGAAGATAGTTTATGAAAACTTTTGTTGATAAGGATACATGAGTAAAATATAGAGAGTTTTCAATTGATTCCTTATCGTAAAGTAAACAATCGTACATTCGTTAAATCGTTAGCAAACACTCAAATTTATGTAAAGTACGGCGTTTAAACTATTACTTCATTTAATTAAGTGCGACTATATTATATGAATTAATATGTCACTACATATTAGCTTATATCAGACCATGTCTAATTATCGATGTTGATTGAATTCTATTAGATGTGCAATAAAATGGATTTGGTTAGCTAAGCGTCTCAGTATTAGTTGGCGTTGAACATTAAAGTTTCGAAAGTAATCCAAGTGACTGTTGAGAAATTAGCAGTATTGTATCATTGTCCATTAGTTTTTCGCATAAGATTTCAACTATCAGTTGTATAACTTCAATATTATTAAATTACTTCAGAAGTTATCTAATTAAATCTATCTGATCAAGTATTAACTTGTTCATAGTCTAGTTTGGTAAACGGTAATGTTAACTCTACCTGTTGTTATCGGTAGAATAATAATCGTTCTAATAAATAACAGGGGTTATTTTATCAAAAGAATCTTCCTACAGATATTGCTTCCATCAGTCGAAGAAATCAGCATGACCATCAGACAGCAAAACAGCTGAAGCATTGAAGTCTGGGATAAAAGTAACTACAAAGATGCTTTACATTCTATTCAGGAGGACGAACAGTTGCAGACGGATTGGAAAGAAGGATAACTCATCAAGATACCAAAGGAAAGAGATCCTAGTAAGTCTGAGAACTACAGACATCACACAACTATGGTGGTGTGCGCTACTTATGACAACAGATATAAGTAGTATGTAACGCCAATCGGAAGTGGAAACCATGGTAGCAGAAAGTTAAGATCAATTTGAAAAGAAAGTAGCAAGGAATTACAGCTCGGAAGATTCATGCGAAATTTGAAAGACGAATGATGGAATTTTGCAAATGGTTCTCATGCTTCACCAAGAGATTCTATAATTTTGTACTAAAAATACATTGGTTGTCCCCATCTGAGCGTTCGTTCATAACACTATCAATACCAGGAGTTTCGGACAAAGTGCTGTTGAACCAAATAAAAGATTCGGTAGATTCAGAACTCCAAGACCGACAAGCTGGCTTTCGTGAGCATCGATCATATGCCGACCAAATCGCGAAACTACGGGTCATCTTTGAACAATCAATTGAATGGAACTCGTCACTATACATTAAATTCCCTGACTATGATAAGTAGATCGACAGTGTGGATAGGAGAATCTTCTTCGACACTGTAGTGTACCTAAGAAAATCGTCAACATCATACGGAATCCAAGCGACGGACTACACTGTAAAGTCGTCTATGAAAAGCAGCTCACTGATGCATTCTGAATGACGACTGGTGTCAGACAATGCTGTTTACTTTAGCCCTTTCTCTTCTGGTGGTTGGCTGGCTTGTGATTACCTCCACATCTCAAGAGAAGCACAAAATACATTGGACAGCTTTGATGTAGCTAGATAATTTGAACTTCGCAGAGGAACTAGTTCATCTATCCCATACAGAGTAATAATAATAAAGAATTAATATGGCAGTTCTTGGATTTCGGTGCGAAGCTCGTTCATTCATATGGCGAAATAACATGGCATTACAGTTAATATCAGTTAGTTGTAAAAACTAACTCTTGCCCATAACCGTAACTTTTAAATATAATTCTTGGTCCTAGTGAGTGAATGAAGTTTTTCAATACCAATTCTGTATTGCTCCAAGGTCGTCCATAAATTATAGTCTCGCCTTTCAGGTATTAAATATAAAGTAGTCTATCAAAAATTAAGGGTATCGTATCAGTTAACGCTTATCAAAATAGCCAAGTGTTTAATTGTCTTAGACGTAATGGTAATGGATAGCAATATTTAATAGAAGACATGTAAAGGGTAATTTTCTACTTCACGAATATAAATGATGTGAACAATATGATAGTAATTGGACCTGACGATGTATGAAATTAATTAGCGTGTTAATATTGTGGTAGAATAAGAGACTGAACTTGACTATTGTTTACAGGTAGATCATTTTTGATCTAATGAATTACTATACCTTCAGCTGTGCACAAATTTCTGATCCAAACCTTTGAACCAGTTCATGTGACTCGGTAGATAATCTCGAACTATGATTCACTTGACCATGTGTCATAAAATAATCCCCTATTTTACAAATATATCTTTATTGATGTCTTCAAATTGGTATAAAACATTTGATGGTTTTGCAGTCAATTTTTACACACATCGAAAATTCTTGATTGTTCATGTTAGTTTCTGTTCGATCAGCTAGGTATATCTGATAAAAATTTATCCAATTCCAAGGGTTCATATCAAAGTAGTTTGATTTCTGTAGAATCTAAGTTATTATATATAAAGATGGACTGCAACTGGCAGTAAGATCTAGGAATTGCAATCAGTAATACTTCGAACTCATCAGCTCGAAATAAAAGCATTTCAGTATCGATGTTTACTTCAAGGCTCAATACTAGTTAGTTTATTAGCGAACGCACAATGCGTTATCCACTTAACTACTAAATCCAGATAGTAATTAACTTATGAAACAAGTTTGAAAAGGCTTGAATTATCCCGTTGCTTGGTATTCATTACTTACTTTTGATTAGTTTTAGTTATCATAAATAGATTGTTTGGATTGTTTCGAATCAAATATCATGTTATAAGTTTCTAAAGGAGAGATGGATTATGCGCAGCAGAGGAAACTAGGATGCGCGTATCATCATATGTTGAACACAATGGTCATATCGAGTTCATACGCACATACTACCTGAGTAAATACCTCTTGAAGCCAGTCACTGATGAGTATACGATTACTAGAATCACAGAAGGGTCCAGTGCTTCCAGGTTTTCCATGATGGTCTAGGTTCAATTAACTCATGAATTCAAACATTGAAAGTACTATAATATCCACGAAATCCCTTCTCTGATTATAAAAATATGTTTCATCCATATCTCGATGCCGACGAATAATCACAGGAGAATCAAATATGTCAAAACCTGAGTTCGCAAAATATTATTCATTGCCTGAGTTAATATATTTCACAAAAGAAATTAATAATGTGAGCAGCAGACAGGGACTGGTTGATGATGTTATAAGTAAACAGACACATACATGCACACCTAGTAACAATATGACGCTCAAGCACATTATATGCAAAGACATGAGTGAAAGAAATATATTTACCGAAAATCAGAGGTTCTTATGAAGAGAACAGAGTTATTAGGATCATAAAGATAACTCAGTGGTCACACACTGTCTTAAAATCTGGAATAAGCTCGCACATGTTTCATAACAGAGATGTCACTGCACAACAAGGCACACAAGAATTTCCATGATTTTGTTGGTGAGAGGGATAGACGTTATCTGAAGGTGTATTAAAATAAACGACATTTAAGTGAAATTTGTTGTCGATCACTTGTCAGCCAAAAGTATTTACTGTTGGTTACCTACTCACCGTAATACTGTGTAATATAAATTATTACCGTAATTTAAAAATAGACCGAAATTGAAATTTTGTCAATATTCGATTTATGCTTTTACTTGGACCCCAATAGACGGTTTTGTATTTTGTTGAATTTAAACCACGTATAAACGGATAGCGATCAATTGAGAGTGTGTGATCTGCAATAACATAAGGCCAGCACATGATGTAGTAAAGGATTATATTTAGTACTTGTACACGAGATACGAATTTGAATAAAGTACATAAGCAAATCAACAACAGAATTGAATTAATCACAATAACCCTGATCGTCCATGATGAGTACAAATAATAATAATGCACATTTATTAAAATTTCAAAGGTGAATTTAATAATAATTATTAAGAAGCTACTAAATTAAACCCTTCTTAGAATACACGTATTAATGATTGTGTCCGAGCAATAATTAAGTAGCAATAAGCAACACATAAAATAAAATTTGAACACCAATTAAATATGATACAACAGTGTAGTGGACGAGAACTCAAATAAGGGCAACCGAATGTGTTTGGACGCAAAATTACAAAACATTTCAGTAGAATCTAAGAGCCATAAAGGAAATGCTTAATTTGCTAAATTTCAACCAATTGTC